CTTACTACCAATCTTTGCTGCATGCTCCTACCACTTCCGCGTCGAATACAATGGAGCATGGGTGTAGGTGGCCCCTGTTTGAGGCGACTAAGTGCCCGCCCTGGTAGACCGCGTAGCCGTATCCTACGTTGGACCCGTCTGAGAACACTACCAGATCCTCTGGAGGCAGTGCTTGGAACCAAGCCTTGAAGGACTTTGCTCTTTGGTTTGACCTCGTTGAGTTGACGTAGACAGAAGAAGTCTTTTTTATGGTTTACCTGAAAAATACACTGGTCAGCATCATCTCGGAACCAGGCCTAGGACCGACGTGGAGAGAACATACACCGTCGCACGGCATGACGCGAATTTATCCCGTAGTCGGGTCTGGATGAATGGTTGTGCGTTTTGGGAGCTCGTAGTATTCGGGTGGTGTAGTGAGGGGGGAAGAAAGGAGAACCTCTGTCGGTAGTAAGGCTGCGAAGATGTCTGTGAGCCTAGCAGCTGTGCACGTCCAGGCACCTTGATAGTGATCTGCTTTGTCGGGCTGCGCGGTGCTCGCGCTGTTGTTGAGAAGCAGCCTGACCGCACGCAAGTTCTGTAATCGGCACGCCAGCAGGAGAGCGGTACATGTACTCCAACAGGCTCAGCCTGAGACGGTATGCGGGAGGTCCTCTATCAGGCCTGCCATGCGGGCTCCGGGGTAGTATTCCAAGACCCAGAGAGTGGCATTGATGTCACGTCGGGCTTCCAAGTTGCGCATCGGTAAAGAATTTAAAGCACATCACAACGCCTACAGCAGTCACAGCGCTGCTAGGCTGCACGAGTCTGCATGGCCATGCACCGGTCTGTCAGCACCAACACAGTTCAAGCAGGTCATCACGTTAGTGGTGAGGTACCTTCATGGGAAACAGCTTGCGTGAATGTTCATGCCAGGACGTTTACATCTATAGGCCGGCAGTCTCTACTGGGTTCCGGGATGCCTGAGTCATCCTGAACACGCCCTGGCAGGTTTCCAAACTGGCCATTTTCTCGGGCATTAAATGACGCCTGGAGCCCTAGGTATGCCCCGTTCAATGGCTTGAGCTTCCCAACGTTCCTAGTGCTAATTCACGCCCTCAGCTCCATCGCGTTTGATGACGCACACCGCGGCTACAGCCAGGTCCTTGCCAACTTCGAGGTAGTCGACGCGATGTTCGAGGTCCTGTATCCGCCCTTCTAGCTCCTGAATGTGGGTCAGAGCCAAATTGGTGGACTGACAGCGTTGCCCCCATGATTGCCTAATTGCCAAATCAGGCTGGAGAATCACAAAGTGATAACTAATCATTATCAGAAACAGGGGTTCAGGTGATTCGGCAGCCGCCAACGATGGTTATGGGTGGGCTGAGCCTGGCGTGACAACGCAGGCGACCCCTTGAATCGCCACACCACAAGCAGCATCAGTTCCCAGCCCCTGACAAGAAGCGAGCGGGTCAATTCGCAGCAGCGGCTCTCACCCCTCCCCTGTCATTCTTCCTCCCTAGTACATACGCAATCGGTACATACACAATCGAACTTCCAGCGGGACTGGTGGACGTGGGCATTCCGGCAACCTCGGCTGCAAGCAGGCGCTGCTAGGATTTCCCCCTAGTGGGAAGCAATGCTACCAAAGCTCCAACCTCCATCATGGCTGCAATCCTATACCCATGTCAGAGGGTAGCACATGTACCAAACTGTTGATGGCGTTAGCCAATATCGTTGTCGTGCGCATTGCATATTGGCCAGTGATGTTACTTAGCCTCTTAGGCAGCGCGACTCGGGGGCTAGACGCCAGCCTGCCTGGTTATCATAATCTCAAGGGACATGGACATCTGCTCGGCATGAGTACTCCACCTGGGGATATGAAAAGAGGAGGTTGGTAGCTGGATGGGTGGTTAGGGTACGGCCATGGTGAGATCCGACCGGGACGCAATAGACGCAGTCATTAAAGAGGCGGAATGCCTTGGCTGGGGCGTGAAAGGAGATTATCCATGTCCCGCGTCCGGTGGCTGGATCTGGTCCGTGCCTCGAGGGTCTGCAATCAACCGGCTGGAGCCCTGTCTGGGCAAAGGCCTCGTCGTAGATCACGTCTTTGGCTCCATATATGATGGGAAGGAGTATGGGACGCTGGGTACCACGTAATTGTACCAGGTTTCGGATACTTCCACAGCGTCTGCGCCCGTGATCTTTTGCACCCTCAGCTTGGCTTCGGGTTCCAGCAGCTGTTGTTTGATTGCCATGTTGCCGAGTGTGATGGCCCAACCCGTGGCAGTCTGCGTGATCTCAGGGATGTCCTTAAGCGTGATCCCATCTGCTGCGAATTCCTTGCAGAGCGCAGCCCTTAGCGAGAAGGGCCTGTCTCTGTGTGTGCGCCGCTCGAAGCTGAGTCTGATGAGGATCCTCTTGTCCGTGTGGGGCGCAGGGGTGGAATTAGTATAGGCGGTGGACCTGGGCTGGGGTGAAGTCCTTGTATTTGTGCTCCTTGTTGTGGAGCTGGGTGGCCTGTGTTGCATTCCTCGAGCTGCGACCTCTGCAAATGAAATCGATTTGACCCCCGCGGTCTGGCTCCTGGGTTTCTGGGAATCAGGTGGCGAACTGCTGAGCCGGATGGGGGCGTAGACGTTTCCGTGGTTGTTTGAGAATACTGCTGCGTTCAGGTAGGTGAGGATGGCAGAGATGATGTCTTTGGCTTCCTCTTTATGTTCCAGCTGGTGCTCCGACCTGTAGCTGTCGACGAGGCTGTCGAGGGTCTTGGCAAGGTCTGAAAGGACGTCCTTTTTCACCTTAGCTTTATGTTCCGTGTCTTGTATGTATGTCAGAATGGCAGTGTGCGCAAGATTGGCTTTAGGTCGAGCAGCTTCCTTTCCAAAGGCAGCGGTGCTTGGGGGAGCCTGTATGGCTCCCCTAGGTTCGATTCCCGCAGTTGCCGATAGAGGTTTGGATCTCTCTCCACCTCTAGCAGCGTCGTCAGTAAGCAGGCAAGGCCTAGCTCTGCAGCCGGTATCGGCTTTGTCACCCGGTACCGGGGTTCTGTATCTAAAGCCTTGGGGTTTCCCTGTATTATAGCCAAAGCCGCATAAGACCTTGTCCACCCTATGGCACGGCATGAGGGCATGCCTTAGAGAGAGGAGGCATAGTGTTACGGTCGCACAGTGGGTCGCTGTGCGGAGTAATGCATATAGTACAGAAATAGGAGTCAATGACCATTCGGGTCATTGTTGAAGCTTTTGCCTCATGGCGCAACGGTTGTCCTATACGCGTTGTAACAGAAAACATGGCTCACGTGTCCGTCCAATGAGTTTTTAGCTACGCATACTGGCCATGGCTATGCGAGGTTGTGTTCAAGCACATCCACAATTTTCTGCAGCTCTTTCTGCACTTCTAGCAATGCCTGCATAAGGTCGGATAATCTCAGATTGAAGTTACGCAAGTGCTGATTCTTGATAAACGGGACGGTCTCTTCGTTGATTTTCTTTCGATTTTCTTGATTTTCTTGGAATGAACTTCCGTTGCTGTTCGAGTCGTTGTCAGAGACGACAAAGTCCTGCAAACTTCCTGGGCTGTCCAAGGGATCAATAGAACTGATAGAGTCTGATTCGATGCTGTCTATATAACAGCTGTTATTATATCGTTATGATGAGACTTGAAAGATAAGGAACTATACCTTCATAATCGCCATCGAACTCTGACAAGCCAGCACCCAAAACTTCAGGTTCACTATCCATTGCGATGTCAATCTAATGTTTACTCTGTCGACTTGCTAGATATAATACCGAAGAAAAGACTTGATCTACCTCTCTTGTATCAAGAGAAATCAAATGCGAGAGAAGAATGGTATGTAAATACGATACTCGAGATCCGGGTTTAGACGCGACTAATTCTGACGTCAGTAGACAAGTTATTAAACAACCATTTTCAAAGTTTTCAGGAAATGAATCCCAGGCCTGGCCAAAACCAACCCTCAGAGGCATCCAGAACAGACACATGTCATTTACTACGGAAGTCTACCTGAGCAAGACCCGTGGCTCAAAATGACTCTCTTGGTAATCTTGGCGTGAATTGGAGTGCAATAAGCAGCGTCACAATTTTTTAGACGTTCTTGGTCATGATCCAGTTCCCGCCCATAATCCCGTTCCTGCCTATAATGGTCCAATTTCTGCTCATGATACACGTTGGTACAGAGTCTTGGCCGGACTCGTTGGGACCGTTTTTTTATATTCGTGCGTTTACCTGGCGGCGGCCGGTCTGGAATTCGCATTCATCTAGGGTCATTTCGGATGTGATCTCCATGTCTTCAAGTTCGATGTTGGTAAGTCTAGTTGGGCAGTTCGGGAGGGCATAAGTGTGCCACTTGACGGGTAGTTCTACTGCAGAGGCTTTTGTGAGCTGAGCTAGTTTTGCCTCTTGTGCTAGGATCTTTCCTTGTGCAGTTTTATCCCTTGGTCGATAGAGATGGCATTTATCGACCGCAATGTTGGAACAGGCTTGAACGATCAATCATAATACTCGAGTATGGGGTCAAGGTCATGATGTTGCTGATGGTTGGATTGGGAGGTCTAGCTGGACCTGAAGGTCTGGCTAAGTGACCTCGCAATCCGGTATCTAATCACTTATCTAATCATACATGTGGGTCCTGGTATAGGTGGTTTGCAGGCTGGAATCGCATGGATCCAACACGCAAAATATTTTAAGATCTCGTCCGATTGGCACTGTAAGTGGCGACTTTAAAGAGACTGAAACTGGAAATCTACCCCTTCCCGTGGATACGGCTCCTTTTCACTCATCCTGTACTAATATCTACTTTAGACCCCAGGAGAATCACTTGCCGACCTTAAATTAGAACCATAACACACTACACAGTTTAGGGGTCGAACCAGTCCAGGAAACGCCCCGTTAGCGCTTCTTCCGGGCCTCTCTATATACAATCGTGTATAAATATATCACGTTGTCTATTCCTTTCTTCCAATTGACTCGTTTGGCATTGCAATCTCAACCTTGTTTCCAAAATGCCCCCTCGTGATACCCCTGGGCAAAAACGACCGAACACCCGTGGGGTGATGAAGAACAAGCCGAGAAATCTAGCAGAGAGAAATAGCAAACTCGAAGCGGAACAAGCTAGGCTAGCTGTCATAGAAGAACAACTCAAGACGACCAACGATTCCAGCTCTTTACGAAAGGCTGAGGCACTTCGTAAGGAAATCGAAAAAGATCGGATGGACCTTGATGATCCCGACAACGCAGAGCCCGATAGTTCGGGAGTAAAAGAAGAAGACGGCCTCTTTGTGCCACACTCCCCAGCACCAGGAGCGCAGGAACTAAAGTCCAATCATGCCAGGGGTAGTAACTCACCCAAAGCGGGAGACACAAGCAAGACGGATGTGGACGACGACGGAGAAGAAACGGTTTCTCCCCAAGATATCTTGGAAGAGTTGAGCCCAGGCTCTAACCACAATGATGACGGTGATGTGAAACATGTGGGTTGGGTCCCGGGTGTCCGAGGTGTCCCACATGTAATTGTTCAATACGGGCCGCAGAGCGTTTCCAGGTATCGCATGAAGAGGCAGAGCGACGTTTCAACACCTTTGATAAAGGATGAGGCAAGGAACCTGTCAGCTAACCGGCCAGGAGAGAATAAAATAAACGGCCGGTATGAATTCACGAAAGGGTGCATCAAAGGAATCCAGGGCGTGGCTTGGGTGCATCCGGACAACGATGAGGACCCCCTCAAGCTACTGAACCCGAAGAATTGGCCTCGTAAAGGTGAGGGTAAACGGAGGACGACGCCATATACCCTGGTTAAAGTAAAGCTTTTAAATGGTTACAAAGATGGTGTTCCTCAATATGTTAAGAGTTGGGAGACTAGGAGCACTGTTAGGCGGCTTTGGAGTGTTTCGTACCCACCACCTACCACAGACATTATGATGGGTGACAAGATTCTTATCCCTAAAAACCAGTCGATCAAGTCTGCGGATGTTGCCATCATCATGGCGGCCAAGCGGTTTGAGGAGAAGTACCAGAAGTATCGTACAGAGGAGGGAAAAGGAGGCGAAGAAAGATCTCCATCCCCAGATCCGGCCTTGAAGATTGGAATGGAGGTAAACGAGTGAGACCTACAGACGGCGAGCATGAGGTAGGGCAGGATGCGTCTTGAATAAGCTGGGATTTCCTTTAGAATCTATGTCGAGGCTGGGCTGGTTCCAGACGTTTGCTACATTGGGTTTATCACATTCGTTTTAGTTCAGCCCACTATCCATTCATTTGTACTTTTTGTTTGTGCCAAGGCAGAAACTAGCGGCTAGGTAGCTCAGAAAATTGAAAACCCTTTATAGTCTAATTAAACCGGTCTTTATATTTAGACCGAGATTCGAGGCGGCCATCTGTGTCGGTGTTGATACAGCCGTCCATTGACTAGAACATTGCGATCGAACCCTATTTCAACGTACTTGCTTTCGTGGACGGGGCTTGCCCACCCACGACGGTTATATATTATGGTGGAGCTTGTCGAGTGACAAGCTGCAGCCGCAACGTCGCGCCAAAAAGGGGCTCTACATCATGGGTTGCTCTAGGTCATCGTTGGCGCAGCTAACGGTTAATGGCGACGCAGCGGCGCAACGTCCCTATCACTTGAACCAGCGCATCATGAACATCCAGCTCGACAAGCTCGAGTACCGCTTCCAGTGGACAGAATTCGCTGGTAAAGACGACTTTTGAAGATTTAGGCCCTCTTCTACGATGAACCACGGACCGCCCTGATCTATCAGTGCTCTCAGAAGTCTACGGACCTCCGTGAAGTCCTCCTACACGTCCCAAAGCCCCCCGTGGACGACAGGCGTGCTCAGGGCTGGGACCAACGCAATCCACTCCACCATGGCCTTCCGTGACATTGAATGGATCCAATTACACGAATGAAGCTCGTGGTGTTGATCAACCAGGGGTCCTTGTGGAATTGGGTGGATTTCGTGGATTATATTGACAAGCTATCTAGCTGCTCTCGATCGTGATTTGCGTGCCTGCTGTTGGTTTTTTGCCTCTCGCGGGTTAGTTGATAGTCATTTAAACGAATGCATTCATACGTACTTATTGCTCATCGCCAATAGAATCCATGGTGTTGAGCCATGCTCGTGTCCACTCTGCCAGCTCCTGATCGGTCATCCTCATGACTTTGTGCTCGTCGTCCTCTTCACTAACAGGGTAAAAGAGAGGGTCTAGGTCCCTAATAATACCAGCGCGTAACCATGATCGTAGTACCTGGCACATTCCGATGATGTCGGCCTCAAAAGCATTGCGCAATGGGGTAACCATTTGGCCTGCTGCCGAAAAGAGTCTCTCACACTCTGCTGACATGGGTTGTACCATCATATCTTACACTACACCTCCGCTTTCCTCTGACTAGCTGCGATTATACATCAGGGGCTAACCCATCACCTGAACCTGTGGTGAACTGAGAATGACCAACTCTTCGAGAAAGCTTGGTCTGATGGAAAAGGTGTTTGAGAGTAGTGAATGGTGCAACATTGTCAAGGCTGACGGTTTCTTGCCATTTCTTTGTGGCAGCGATCTCACGAAGCTCGATAAGGAAGGATCATGGGTCGCAATGGATAAAACGGAGGAGCCCATCTACTTGGCTCTGGGCCTGACACACAAGGAGCATACTTACCCGAATGCTATTGATCGCTCCGGGTTACCTCACAAAGATCTCTTCTTCAAATGCCTAAAGCGGTACAAATGGTCGAACGAACAACGGAGAGATATTCTCCTTCACGACGCCAATATTATGCTGAATATCAGCCAATATTACACGGAGGATATTCATCAGGTCAATACGGCTTGTATCACGAGGCTTGGCCAAGGGGTCATCGGTGAAGACAAGTTTGTACCTGGATTGGCATTAAGTTTAGGTGATGAGGAAGCGACAGGTGTGCGGGCATTACACTTGGACGTTTACTTGTTCTTCATACTGGAGGTCTGGGGCATCACCATAGTGTGGCAATTCTACGACCCCGAGGACCCGTCCATTGATTCGTGACAGTGTTATGGAAGGAAATATCTAGCTGATAAGAGGAACCCTGCGATTATCGGCAGGGTACCTGAGCTTGGATGGCTGAAGTTGGCGTCGAGATCAGACGAGGATGTTTTCTTAGTACTTATATGTTAAACTAGAAACGAGGGCAATTTTTAACAAGTTCTAGCATAGCGTACTGAAAATTTGTGCCCTGTCGGTGGAAGGGTGCCTCCAGCACTTGCGATGTCTGTGAAAGTATGCTTTTAGGTCTTTTATGCCGCACTAAACGTATAGAAGCGGAAATCTGACGTTTACGAGTATGTAAGTCAATTCTAGATGTGCCAGCTTTCTCACGTTATTAAATGGTCTAGCAGGAGTCGTACTGGAAGCGCCAAAAGTGCAGCTTGTTTAAGACACATAAGTGGCGCATTCAAACCACGCCTCCCAGAGCCATTGCATCGCAAGGTTGTAGAGGTGTCAGTCTAGATACATTCAGATCCGCCCACGAGCCTATCCTCGCTGTAGCGGTACCAATCTGGAGTGTCCAGATGGTTTTAGTCAATACCCAAGCACGATTCCGTCAGAAAAACCTCCCGTCCAGTGACAAAGCGACCCAGTGAACCTCAGTCCTCTGGTGTACACATCGTTCCAGTAGCCGTTCGATATATGTCGCATTGGTGGGTGAAGTAGGTGTTTGTTATCTGCTAGCGAGGGAAACCACAAGGGGAAAAACCTCGCAGGAGTGGGTGTTGTGGAGACAAGCTGTTTGGCTATCAGGCTCTGCGATAATGGGGCCTCTCCACTGTCGTGTGCTGGTTGTCGACTCGCACAAGCCGGGTCAGAAGGGGGCCATAGTAGGATTCGAACCCACATGTTCTCGTCGCCCACCGCACAAACGAGAACACAACCAGGCGCATTTGACCATTGCGCCATACGGCCAGCCGAATGCACCTATATACAAGGTCACAGACAGAGACGCTGCGTTCCTTCACATTCCAGAAATCCATTTCTGTTGCTGAAGTCGACGACGGGTCTTACTGGGTGTTTGAGTAAGGGAAATTTGAAACGAAGCGAAGCAGCGGAAACATATGGGGTTGGCAGGTTGGTGGTGTTTTTAACGGAATATGCCTGGTAGACAATATGGCAAACCATGTACGAAATCAAGGTGCATTTCTATAGCAAAACGCAGAAAGGCTTCGGCACAAAACGACACCGATATGTCATTACACGAGGTTCCCACACCTGTGGCTCTCTCAGCCCGTTGGATTCTCGTGTGTCTGTTGTTGTCTGATGGGAAAATCTTCTGGTGCATGACTCTCCTCCTAGATATCCCTGCGCTGTGGTTCACTCCCTATCCCGTTACAAGGATCCCAAACGTGATACCCCGCGGCACCTACTGCCGTTCAACACTTTCTGAAACAGTCAAGAAGGCTGCTTGGCTGCGAGAGCTGATGCTGGAGCTTGGATATACTTTAAATACTATCAGTATATGGACCATGACAAAAACTGAACCATGAACAGAAACTGGGCACTGCCACCCCCTCACACCCTCTGTGGCTTACGTCCCATTCAACAAATTCACCCAATGTTAATCTCCAAGCGTACAGTATGAAACCCAAAAACCGCCCCGGCATTGTTTGTTCCATTTGCATTTATATCGTCGTATCCTTGAAAGCCAGAGTGCGTACCTTACCAGTCCTATCCTGCAACCGTTGCATGGACCTTGGTCCGATTCCCTTGTCGCAATACTTTGCATCTCGGTCGCAGTAATCGTAGGGAAAGCTTGCGTTACATGGATCTGGTCCGTGTTCCAAGCTATCTGCTTCGTGTTCTTTCTAGTTACACGTTTGTGGCCCTGATCTGGCAGTGGCTCTACCATTTGAAACAATGGTATTTTCCAACTCGCGTCGGAACCGCGAGGTCACCCCGGAGAATCAGTTCGCAATCGCAGTAGGTGCCAAGGGGTATCACGTGTGAGGAGGGCCGTCACATAAGACAGGCCCAACAGCTGGGCAGAGGGCTTCAGGTAGCCCAGCATGCACCATGATGCTGCGAATGAAAGAGTGTATGACACTAAAAGACCTCACTGCCACTCTGATGTGCGCCACTGCTGGAACGATTGGTTATCAATGGTGGTAAGGCTAGCACCACCCCCTGTATAAAACCGTTGGATTCAAAGTGTCGGCCTCGATATGACGTCCGCTGCGGCTTTATGACAGCATAAGACCTAGCTACACCTCACCCCTTGTTCTTGGGACTGATTGGTTACCGCTTTTGCCTTACGACCTATGTCATGGCCAGCCGATGGCTGAGATAATAGTGGTACGCTATCGGCGCTTCCCTATCCCAGATCGATGCCCGGGGACGCCTTCGCCCAGTTGGGTTTTTCTCCCGCAAATTGACACCAGCAGAAGCAAACTATGAAATACACGACAAGGAACTGCTCTCTATTGTCGCCGCCATGGTCCATTTCAGAGGCGAACTACGCAGTGTGGCGACAAATTTCTCCGTGCTATCAGATCATAAAAACCTCCGTCATTTCATGACAATCCAGAGACTCACAGATCGCCAAGTCCGATGGTCAGAGATCCTTTCCCAGTACAATTTCCATTTTACTTTCCGGGCTGGGAAAGACTCAGGGAAGCCCGACTTCCTGTCCCACTGTCCTCAAGACCGTATCAAGGGAGCAGACGACGAACGTCTCAAGAATAGGGAGTTTCAGCTGATCAAGGACACCTGGCTTCCACCATGCACAGAACATCCCCAGGCCGCTGCCAAAATATATGCTATGATCGTAGCCCCAGTCAGTACAAGGACCAGACGACAACCGCCCCCAGCAACTCATATCGAAGACAATCCAACCACGCGAGAAGAGCTGAGCGCACCACCACACGGACGACACGTTTTTACTAGCCCTGAGCTCCAACATCTTTGGGATCAGGCTATTAGCGCTGACAAGACTATTACAATATCTATGCTAGTGTTGCAAGAGGGGACAGAGCCTTACCTCCTAGCCTAGGGATTGACGTACAGGCTATTGACTACGAAATTGAAGGCAGAGGAGTCCTCTTGTATAGAGGATCAATCTGGGTGCCTGACTACGAGCCCCTTAGGACGGCGTTGGTACAACAGACGCACGACTCCCACATTACAGGACACCCGGGAAGGAACATCACAGGTTGGATCTTACAACGAAACTACTTCTGGCCTCAGTAGTACCAGACAGTGCGCCGCTTCTACAGGAACTGCAGTGTTTGCGGCAGGTCTAAGGTCTGGCGTCAAGCGAAGTAGGGACTTTTATGACCGCTGCCTATACCAGACCGCTTTTTCAGCGAACTTTCTATCGACTTTATGACTGAGCTTCCCGGAGATGGGGACGCCCCACGAAACATGATGGTCATGGTTGACAGAGTGTTGGGAACAGTTACGCTCGAGCCACAAGATTCTATGGAAGCTGAAGCCTGTGCCGAAAAGTTCGTTTGGAGCCACTTTCGCTTTCATGGCTTCCCAAACTTCATCACGTCTGACCGAGGGAGCAACTGGGTGGGGAAGTTCTGGACTAGATTATGCCAGCTAGTTCGAGTCGAGCAGCGCCTATCGACAGCCTATCACCCTCAGACAGACGGCCAAACGGAACGCATGAATCAGGAAGTCCTTGCCTACCTACGCGCTTTTGTGGCCTACGCACAGGATGACTGGCCCAAACTCTTACCCACAACCCAGCTAGCCATCAACAACAGACCGAATTCGAAGACAGGACTCAGCCCTTTTTTTGTGCTGCATGGTTACCACGCCGACCCCATCCAACAACAACCTCCGCGCCGCCCCAACACATCAAAAGACCCCAAAGCAAGGGCAGAGGAGTTCGTCACGCGCCTCCACGAAGCCCAGGAGATGGCTCAGGCCGCCATGGCCACAGCACAGCAGATAATGGAGCAACAGGCGAACCGAAGCCGCCACCCAGCAGAGAGATTCCAGACTGGCGACAAGGTATGGCTCAACCTCAAAAATGTCTCGACTCCACAGTTGAAGAAGAAGCTTGCTTGGACACACGCCAAATACGAGATTACCAAGATGATTTCCCCTGATGTGTACGAGCTGAACGTCCCAAGCAATATTAGGAAACGCTTTTTCGTGGACCTATTACGACGTGCTACAGAGGATCCCTTCCCATCTCAAAAGATCGATGACACACAACCCCCACCACTTCTTGACGGCCCAGACCCCTTATGGTCAGTTAAGAGGATTCTTAAGGCTGATAAATTTGGGAACAAACGAAAGGTCTTGGTAAAGTGGACAGAATATGTCGAACCAACTTGGGAGCCTCGCGAAGATCTCATACTCACAGACGCATTCAAGGCATTCGTACGAAAATATAGCGAGGGTGATGACGTAGGAGAAGACAACATCGGGGCGTATACGGGTTCAACGGGAAAGAAAAAGAAAAGTAGAAAAGCTCGGTCTCAAACATGACAAGGCCCTATCTTAAGGGAGAAGGAAGGTGATGTTACGGTATTACATAATACCTCCACATTTTATGTACATATATATCCCTAGCTTCCCTTTCTTTTCCGACATTGCCTCTTCTTCCTTAGATATCGTTGAATCTAGATATTTCATCCCATCAGCCCTGGCCAGCGCAGCTGCAGGCCTGATTGTCACACCTACAATCAGAGATGGGAGCCTGGTGTCGCTAACAGGCCGGCCGTGTGGAAACAACCGTGGCCTCCAAAGAGAACCCGAACAGATACAACCAAGGAACCGAAGCCGAAGAGAGCACGAGGTCTGGGAAGGAAATCAGGACGTTGGCAAAACATATATGTTCATGTGGAGAGCATCGTTTGCCAAATGGACGGGTGGAGTGAGTCATTGACGTGGCATCGGCATAGAAAGGGATGGCGTCGTGGCAGTGCAGAGATTTGGGATGGGGAGGACCTGGGTTGTTACTTGTTGGCTGGACTACCTGTGTTCTCGGTTGTAGTATGACCAGGTGGAGGTGGATTCCCGATAAAGGTTTCGTGGGACGAGGAAATGGGGAAGTTTACGGGCTTCGACGAGATGTGCGATAAGTGGATATCTATCAGGGCTGGTGAGATGGGCGACTTGGTTCTCGATGCGACCCGTGGGGTTAAAATTCAGTGATAGTCAGGTAGACTACAAACCTTTACCTAAAGTGGCTGCTGCATGGAGACGATCTTGGATCTTGGATCGCACGGTAACGGCCTTACTACCATTGATATCCAAGCAGCTTTCTAGACGGTCAAGACGAGAACCACCAGGGCCTAGTATCCCAACCATGACGTATACTAATCTTGGCTAACGGAGCTACTGAAACTAGACTCTTTCAACGCAGTGAGTCTTCTGCTCAATAGCGCACTGGATGATGATAGCCTAGGACGCGGTAATGTACGAGGTCTAAGTTTTCTGACTTACTAATTAGCAACATGGGTTAATCGGTGGGTAGATTCTGTGACCTTGGAGCGTGCGGATAAAGTAGGGACAGTTAACATCATTAGCTTGCGGGCCGGTCTGAATGTAGCTTCTCGATCCCGTCTCCAGGAGACGCCAGGGCACCTTCGGGTTGATTCATACGTATCCCAGGAGACAACTAAAGGCTAGAGGACGTGCATGTGAGGCGCGCATGATACAAGCAGTTGGTTTACGGAACGGAAGGGGCGGCTACTTGCTTCTGGCCTTTTTGTTACGGCCACGCTTCACCACGTGGCTGTCACGGCCGCCGACACTCTCCCAGTATCGGTCCAGTAGCTCCAGCGCTACATTCCTGAGCTTGGTCTCAGCCTCCATTGACGTTTCACCCCGTGTGTTAGGATGACCAACCCACTGTACCCTGAACAGGAAAGCTCCTCCCGATTTCCTCTCGTGGCCAAGGATCCTGAACATGTGATATCTCTCAGGAGGAGGGTTCTTGGGTATGATGAAAAGCGCATTCCGTCGCCCACCTTGAGTACTCCAGTAGGTATAGAGAGCGTCTTCTGCGCCCCTCTGGATCTCGTCTTCCGATTCCCACGTGGCATCCTCGGCCACTTCACCAACCCAATGAACTAGTAGTTCGACGATTCCAGTTCTATCACCAATCATACGGTGTTCAAGGAGAGCAGCAATCTCGTGCTCTTGGCGCTCATCCGCTTGACCTTCCTCGCTTTCTGGCTGGGCTTCTTTGCCCATGAGTGTACCCTCTGTAGGAAACCTATCGGTCGTGTGAGCTTTGGCTTGAGCCGTGGCAGCAATGTTAGCGGTAGTAGCATCGGTGGCGTTGTTGCTTGCAAGCATATCTGCGTAGTCAACATGCGTTAGCTGGACTGGGTCTGGAAGAGGCAATGCTGGCAGCGTGAAGTTGTCGTGATAAATGTTGTTGTTAGGTATGCAAATGAGAGTTACGAGGAGGCCTGATTTAGCTGCGGGGCATGGACCACGTGATCTCCAACAGGCGATGTTTCCGTAATATTAAAAGCATACCTGATTCGCATATGTTCGCTACTGGCACAAGTAATTTGATGCTTTTTTTCTCACGGGAATCGGCTTGCGATCGTGCTGCTTCTGGGGTATTCGAGCCAGCCGAGAAGTTTGTACCTCGAATCACTTGAACAGCTCTACTCGCCAGGCTAGCCAAGCACGTGAATGCGTATTCATGCGAGTCGTAAAATTCGTCAATGTCTTCGTCAGGATGAGCCTCCGTCTGACGAGGATCGAGCATGGCGGAGTGAGCTGCTTGAGCTACCTGCGCAGTTTGTATCTGAAGCTGTTGCGACTGCGAGGATAAGTTCGGCGCTTGTCCGAGCATCAGGGGTGACGCTCTGTTAGCCGTGGCTCTGGTGAGCGGAGGCAGCCGGCCGTGCTTGTAAGGACTTAGAGCCCTATCGTAGATAGTTGCCTGGTATGCAGAAGCAGAAGTAATGGGTGGTGGCGAGGGAAGCTGAGGTGGCCTCTGAACAGGCTGCCGCTCCCGTCTGTGAGGTGCCATCTTAGGTGGACTCGCGTCGTGTAGGCTCGAGTCGGGATATATGCCCTTGGCCGAACTGACGTGTCGTAATTGTGGATCAGTGCTCGGCTGAGGCATGTCAGGAGCTTTTAGATGCGGCCTGGAATAGTATGATATCATGTGCAGGTGCTGACCAGTGGATGTTGTAATACTGAAGGATTGCTTCATGAGGCCATCCGCCTTGTATTGATAACTTTTCGGTTCGCCGTCCAGGTATTCATCACTGAGTCGACCGCTCTCCGGTGTCCTTCCGTTGATCCGCCGCGAGCTGCCAAATTCAGTCCCTCGCTTGCCTTCCATTTCTCTGTAGGTCAGAAAGCTGCCCGAGACTCTGCTTGCGCTCCAAGACTTTCCATCGGTCCATCTTCGCATGCCTGCTTCACGTTCATCCCATACAAAGACTGAGCCGGATCTAATCGATTTTCTTTCCTTTTCTGATAACCGCCTTTGGACTCGGGGTAATAGGCCAAGTCTGCAAACCTCAAATAGCTTTATCGCATCGGCGGGCGTCCGCACGAAGCCGTGATAAGTTTCCATTGTGATGCTAAGTTGCCGATAATGTCGGCTTTACCAGCTGGGATACCGGGCTGTAAGAGGCCCTAAAAATCAGTGGTAAATAGTAGGTCCGTTGGACAGGATGAAGGTGGTGAGATTGCTGGACTAGGAGAATATATGGCGAACTTGGTGTATGTTGCCATGATAATAATGATAGTCGTCGAGTCATAGTGGCCACGCCGGAGTGCTTTAAACGATGTCTGCTTTCTCCGATGCCTCGTTGATTGCACGTAATAGCCAACCATTCCTAGCCGTCTCTTAATTTGCCTCACAATCTATCTCATGCGTGCAGGTGCACACATGACCAGGTGGCTGGGATGGCATGGGTCACCAACCAATCCAGGGTGCCTAGTATCCAATCATTCTCCAAACGCCGATTCGACCCTAGGCCTAATGTCGGTTCTTGAAAGCTTATCAAGTCGACACCTGTTGTATGACAGCTGTGTGGATGACCACGTCGGCTAACCACGCCAGTCGAAGACGTATACCCTGGGAAACGTATGAGTCATCCCGAAGGCGCCCTTGCAGGCAGCTCCTCATGGAGACATGTCCGCCTACGCGAACCTTCGTGGCATGATGACGCATATGTGAGGGATGGGAGCCTGTTGGCTACGATGGTCTGATAGCCCATGGCATACGGAATGGTGTTGTAGTCAGTTGAAACAATGACACTCAAGTGATACAGCTGATTATCAATACCTGCTGTCGCCATATTCTCCAGTGCCTAGTGTCAGGCCTCAAGTTCATCCAGTCCCAATATCAGTATACAGAATCCTGGCTTCCGCTCCTCCTAGTTCTTGCAAGCAAAGGCAACATGTTTATATGATCTGTTGCGTAACACAGAGACTCTGCACCGTCCTCTAGTGAATCGTAGCAGTCTAGCATCTGTTCGATTCTTGTGTTTATACTACAGCATAGGCAGGGATGCATGTAATATAGATTAAGGGAAGAGGAGAGAAAGGTCTCTAGCCGTGTCACCATCCCGTCCCACCAAGGAGCGTTTCGTCTCTTGTTGCTTGGTTTGTTGCCAGCAGCAAGGACCACACTACATACACGTAATCCACGCGTTGATACATATACACGTACATATACACATACATCCATTACACGAAGACGGACCCTCTTGGCACACTACATACATGTCAAGCTCTTGTGTATGTATATGTATGTATTTGCGTGTATCTGAGGTAGGTATATAGGTAGTATAAGAAGCAATGTCAAGTAGTAAAAAGTTATGGTGATGATGGTTTCTGGAGGAGTGGCCACCGAGATATTCCGACTTGGCACTCGGTACTTCGTTTTTACTACGACTATTACGTGAAATCTTAGTTTCAAAGCATCGCGTCACCACAACGCGCGCGTCTGCCATTATCACCTGCCGTCAGTGCGATACTGCCCACTAACCAACTATTTGACGCGACTTCGAGATGAGTCCGACCTACGACGGAAACCACGCCATTGTATCGATCGAACCGAAATGCGTTCTCGATCCTGTCGCTAGCCCAGATCCAACAACCATACCCGTCCTGACAATGATGCCGATACCACATCCAACACCGACTCCGAAGCTGTTCTTATCAGCAGCTACCGACGAGGAATGCGAAGAACGATTATGTAAGCTTTATCGTGGCTTTCTATGGTCTGAACGCACAAACGATCGTAGTTCTTGGACATGGGAACACGGATACGACATCGCGAAGGAGAATGATCGAAAATGGGTTTGCCGTCTTTGCCTCCGCAAAAGGCGCACACCAGTCAAGGACTACTCGGCTTCCGGCCTCCCAAATGCGATCCATCACTTGTACGAAGCCCATTCAATAGAAACTCCACAACTTGGTCGTGGAGATCAACCGAGCCGAGCGCCTAATTTACCTCCTTCGCGAACTTCAAGTCTTCGATATTTCGAAGGATCCTTTATTGACTGGGCGGAAGGCTAAGCCTCTTGATGTTGTTCGGGACAATGATACAAGGTGGCTGTCCCAGTACTACATGATCCGACGAGCCCTTCGTCTTCGACCTTACCTTGAGCAACTTATTAGCAAATGGAGGCAAATATGGGAGCAAGAGAATAAGACGAAGAAGGGCGAGGTTCGCAAGTCAGCCAAGCTCCCGAAGATTTGCCAACAAAGATGCAGTGAAAACCCTCAAAGGCGATGGCATCGCTCGAAAACGAAAGCGAGGGTACGTCGGCTCATATGGCAATATCTGGGACACAATACACGGCTACGAATTTATCCTCAAGCAGCTCGAGCGCTATGTTGTCATGGCTGAAGCACTGCCAGACTCTGTACAGTTTCGGATTGGGGTAAACGCAGCTTAGCACAAGCTGAAAGAGTACTATGGAAAGCTTGACGAGACACCAGTCTATTATGCGGCCTTGGCTCTTCACCCTGCTTATCGATGGGACTGGTTTGAGCAGAATTGGGAAGCAGTATGGGTGAACAAAGCGAAAGAGGCTGTCCTAGAGGCTTGGATCCAGGACTATCGTGACCTTGTGGTTGATATAGGCACCCAACACCTCGGCGTCAAACGGCAGAAGCGATTCCGGAACTCTTTCGAGGAGCATCGCGATCAATCTCGGCATTCATCAAGGGCAGGACTGCCCGCTTCTCCGATGCCCGTCGATGACGAATATAAGGCCTGGCTAGCGGCCCCTGAGGCGGGCGACGATGCTATTGACGATCCTATTCACTACTGGCACAACAAACGATTACAATATCCGAAACTCTCAACAATGGCTTTGGACTTTCTAACGGTCCAGCCCATATCTGCAGAATGCGAAAGACTATTTTCGGCTGCTGGCCAGATGATTACACCTCTGCGTACGCGGCTAGATGCGCATATAATTGAGATGTGCCAGGTCCTGCGATCTTGGCTTCGGGCAGGCGTTGTCACAGAGCTGGATCATCTCCTAGTTTCGCCTGACGAAGAGCAGGAAGCGCTGAAAACAGCCCAAATGGGCGACGAGGAGTTCGGGAAGTGGGCAACGAGGTGGCTCACAGACAATTCTGACAGCTTGCTGGAGGCAGAGGCTCGATGGGACATGTAAACGGGTACTGAGCCTCAACGCCACTACGTCATCTTCACCATGTACATGCATGTACATACATACATCGAAGACCTCCGTTGATACACTACACGAGGGTGTTGCTGACTAAAATACACGTACATACCCTATGGGCCAATATGTACGTGTACGTATGTAGTGTGGTCCCTGCCTGTAGCTGTCAAACAGCGTTGTGATGGTCTGCTATGGGCCCTAGTGGCCCCTGCGACAGCGCACTGCCACCTCCCTAGCGCCACGGTAGCCTACGTGCCATTCAACAGTCACATTTTAACGTGGCTGCCCTGCCCCTATCCTAAGGGCTGAATCTTTACATGCACCTCACCTGCCACTTTCACCACGTCATTCTTTGCATTCGTAACCAGCAACCGCTTCCGGCGGCGTGAGAAGCCTTCCCAGGAGCAAAATGGCAGATCCCGACCCTTTTGAAGAGCACACGTACTACGGTCATGGTTACATGCTGGTATTATTAGGGACCTAGACCCCCTTTTTTACCCTGTTGGTGAAGAGAACGACGAGCACAAAGTCATGAGGATGGCCGATCAGGAGCTGGCAGGGTGGGTACGAGCATGGCGCAATACCATGGATTCTATTGGTGATGAGCAATAAGTATGTATGATTGCCTTCGTTTAAATAACTATCAGCTAACACACAGGAGGCGAAAAACCAACAGCAGGCACCCAAATCACGATCAAGAGTAGCTGGATAGCTTGTCAATATAATCCACGAAATCCACACAATTCCACGAGGACCCCTGGTTGATCAACATCACGAGCTTCATTTGTGTAATTGGATCCATTCAACGTCACGGAAGGCCACCACACTTAAGCGGCGGATCACACCGTGTACCCCCTCCTCCGGGTGAGGGGAAGTATGGGCTGAGGTCCCAAACGTTGGCTTCAGGGCGTATCGCCAGGTTCAGTGCTCGTAGAGCTACAGTAGGTGCCGCGGCATGCCGCAGTGGTTCTCACGCGCCCCGTGGGACGTTAGAAAGGAGTGACTGGACAGCATGCCGAGCGGAACACTCCACAATCATCAATTTACTGACAGCCAGGGGCGTGTCAGCTTGCATGCAATGATGAGCTTAGAGGGTGGTAATGTTGATACGAAAGTAATTTTATGATTGAATTCTTTCATCATTGAGGTGCAAGCCCGTGGTAGACGCTGATAGATAGCAGAGTGCTACGAATGTATATATGAAGGAAATAGGATTTGCGTTGAACGTACAAGCCGACAACCTCAGCTTAGCCCGCCATTTCCACTGCGCTGTGGGATATACTGGGGCCCGATGCAATACTCCGTTGCGATTAAACATGATTCCCCGGCAGAGAGCTGTTCTGCTGGTATTGCACATGTATTCTCTGGTTGCTCCGATATTCTGTGAGCCTTCTCTAATCCCTAAACACTGTCTAATAAATGCAAGATATAGAACTTCTCCTTCATGTATAATCAGTGAAATTAGGGTGTAATTGGTAAAATAGGGGAGCTGGTTCTGCATGTATTTTATTATTGGCCTCATTACCAACAAGGGCCTTTTTCGAGGTGAACAAAATCCGTTACTCCTTTTTTGGCCTTGACTCCTGATTTGGACCACGCAATGCAAGATAACGAGAGGTAGAAACAGCTCTAACGTTGTTTGTGGACCATTCTAATAAAATAAAGCTCGTATTAAACGTATATAATGTGCATATCATCTCTCTAAGCTTTTAAGATTTTCTGTGGTTCCATGTTTTTCTTTTGTTCTTGTTGGTATTTCGTATGTGCCTTTGTGAACTGGTTTTTTCGAACTCTTGTTTTTCTCTTAAGTCGATATAAAATGCCACGGTCAGCATCTCAGCCCGCAGCAACAACACAGCGGGATATCGCAGTCCGTGAGATGGGGCAGTCGACATCTACTAAAGCAATACCCTCAACCAAAGGGAATACGGAAACGCCAAGATACAACCTACGCCCACGCAAACCCAACCAAATGGCCCAGCCAGAAAAGCATAAGCAAGATTGCGTTAAGATCCGCCTTTCGCCTAAGAAAGATCGGGCATGAGATCATTCGTGGAGATACTGGTGCATGGCGGGCCATCTCCAGTCAAGTTAGCTTTATGCAGGAAATAGAGAACTGATCTCCCCATTACCAACTTGTAACATGCATGATAAATAATGAATTATGAACGCACTGTACCTAGAAGAAACAGATCCTCGGACGGGACAACCTGATTTAGATACTGGTCGGACTGCTCTATGCGGAAATTCCCCTCCTACGTCTCAGCTTCAGCCTGCCTTCCACCGTAATTTTCAGGTCCTTTCGGTGCATCAACCAACCAGGAGGAAAGGGATGTAATGAAAATATAGCGTAAGTGTTGGATCCATGCGATTCCAACCTTCAAACCATCCATACCGGACCCACATGTACGATTAGATAAGAGATTAGATACCGGATTGTGAGGTCAATTAGCCAGACCTGCGAGTCCAGCTAGACTTCCCAATCAACCCATCAGCAACATCATGACCTTGACCCCATACTCGAGTATTATGATTGATCGGTCAAGCCTGTTCCATCAGTAAGAATATTCAAGCTCGCGTCTCTGGTCAGCAACAACGAGAAGCCCTGCCGAGCCTCATAGGCGATTCTTCATCTGCTGAAGGGGGAGCCTAGACATTGGCAGGCATCCTTTTCTTATTCTGCTGGTCGAGACTGGAAGGGGTGATGGGCTCAGGTTCTCGTGTGAACTGAGCGGCGTCGGGTGCGACTTGGGTAGGTCGCTGGGGGGTTGTGAGAGCCGCCATCAATGAGTACTGAGTTCGTTCCCTCAGTAGGGAACGAGGCAGATCTCGAGATTCTGGCCTTGGTGTTGAGGTCTGAGATTATGGCGCAATGCCAAGTGTTAAAGATTTTGTTGTGCTGCACACAAATACACTAACAAGTGTAAGCGCACGCCCTTGGCTGTCCGACTAGTGGGGGTGTCCGACTTCTATGGGGGGGATGGTACAAGTACGTAGTTATCCGATCCATCACACTTTTGAGTATCCCCACAGAGCGCCGACTTTCTCCCACCCCTTAAAAGACATGTCATCGCAATGGGCGCTTTGGCGCGAAAGCCAATCGGTCCAGTTCCTCCTCTGGCCGCCCCTAGTGGTCCTGCAAATAGGCGCCGGAGTGTTTTATAACTTCGACTTGTCAGACAAGGTCTATCACTGCTCCAATCAAAGACGGTACCTGCCAATGTACGACCAATTCGGGAAGTACACTCGAATCACAGTCTACCGGCATCGGTGCGCCGCGGCACTGGCACCGGCCACCGAGATCGAGGTGTAGACATAGACAGGGCGATGTTAGACACCCCGAGCTGCGCGCAGTAATGGGATGGGGCCCACCCCCCAAACTCCAGGTCGCTGAATTCATTCAGCATCCGGTAACTCGACTTGAGCCCACAACTGCATACAACAAAGATGATCTGGGAGTTGTACGCCGTTCGACACGATTTTGCATCAGGTCCGGGTTCAATCTTTGTCGTCGTCTGTCGCTATTTCCAATCCATATTCATTGGACACCGGCAGCGATTCATCCCAACTTGCGGTGGATCTTGAATACTTTTACAACCGTGATCGCTAATCTCATGATCAACATCGATCGGAATAAGCTTCCCCAGTCCGTAGCTCCTAACCACAAGACCTTGCACCGGACAGAGATTTGGACAAGTATTCGCTTATTAAGAATCGTGTCCGTCAACCGCGCCTGACTATGAATGAGGCCGGCCCAATCGACATCAGCACACGCCAGTTGCCCCAGTCAAAGGTTAGGATTGTACTACAAGGCCCAAGACACTTAGAGTGCGATGTATCAGGTTCAGAAGGAGAACCGCTTTCACGAGACACAAGAGTCGATCTCAGCCCGTAGTTTTTGAGAAGTCTCAGGGGTTTACTTTAACAACTGGACGCGAGCGATCCAGCGAGTACTGTCTTAGAAATGGCCGTATGGCACAATGGTCAAATGCGCCTGGTTGTGTTCTCGTTTGTGCGGTGGGCGACGAGAACAAGTGGGTTCGAATCCTGCTACGGCCCCATTTCTGACCCGGCTTGTGCGAGTGGACAACCAGCACACGACAGTGGAGAAGCCCCATTATCGCAGAGCCCGATAGCCAAGCAGCTTGTCTCCATAACACCCACTCCTGCGAGGTTTTCCCCTTATGGTTTTTCCCTCGCCAGCAGATAACAAACACCTATTTCACCCACTAATGCGACATATATCGAACGGCTACTGGAACGATGTGTATACCAGAGGACTGAGGTTCACTGGGTCGCTTTGTCACTGGACAGGAGGTTTTTCTGACGGAATCGTGCTTGGGTATCGACTAGAACCATCTGGACACTCCAGGTTGGTACCGCTACAGCAAGGATGGCCTCGTGGGCGGATCTGAATGTATCTAGACTGACACCTCTACAACCTTGCGATGCAATGGCTCTGGGAGGCGTGGTTTGCCCTGTTGAGGGACTGCACCCACGATAAATAAAATCAATCATCAATCAATCAATCAAGCCTATTACACCCTCCAATAATACAAGTGGTGTTACTACCTCTATTGGCGCTCACTATGCTGATATCTCCACAAATACTGATGCGACCCAATAGCGGCCTGCGCTGGAACGATCGACTGGTTGCCACCAAGGCCATGCAGGAGTTGCAACCCGTGCCCCGTGCCGGTTACGGCCCGGCCGTCGATGACGCGACGCTGCGCCAGACCCTGTACAACGACCTGCGCACCAACTTTCACCCCAGCAGCACGACGGCCATGCTGCCGCGCAACCACGGCGGTGTTGTCGACAACCAGCTGCGTGTGTACGGCGTGCAGGGCCTGCGCGTTGTCGATGCTAGTGTCTTCCCCACGATTCCCGGCGGTCATCTCCAGGCTGCCGTCTATGCCACCGCCGAAAAGGCAGCCGATCTTATCCGTGGATCCCAGAGCGATGCCTCCCAGAGCTGTACTACCCAGAGTGGTACCACCCAGGGCAAAACCTCCCAGAGCTGGACCAATAACACCTCTGTCATCAACAACAGCCACGCTGGCGATCTTGTCGGAGATGTCGACGGTGTCGCCAGCCGTGCCATGATCCCGTGCGGTTGGTTATCCAGCTTCCGTGCGATCCTCATTACAACGCACCTTTCGGCGCCCTCTGCCTTAGAACATGGTTTTTATCCGAGAAAACTACGTGTCCAATGTGCCGGGTTGAGATCCCTGAGGCTTGGGTCCAGAAATTCTTGGCATCATTTACCATGACTCTATCCTTCCACGGGAAGGATGACCACGTATCGGCTTAGGTTATTATGTACATGGTACGCTGCTCTGGTCCCTTAACATCTCCAAATCCTCAAGCTAGATATTTCTTTTGCTGACGTTTGGAACAGCCGCCTCTGGCGTGTTGCGTTGGCCAGATTACGGGGTACAAGTTTGGAGGTCTGCGATAGCTAAGGTCCGGAAGCTGATGTAATAGTGCATGGAGAAAGCCGACCCGGAATGTTGTTATTGTTGTTGTTGACTTGATTATGAGCATATATGTCACCATGGTTAGGAACTTGGACGGCGGGCGGGAACGGGATGTGAGCCGGAAATGCAATGTATCTCATTCAACACATGACAGCAGATCATCACCTACCTACCTACCTTCTTTTCTACTTTGTGCTGTAACGGACCTGCATCTATCCAGTTATCCCCAGTGCTGCTCATTCTGCTGCGACTATTCGTCTGGCTGTTCCTTCGTGATCGACGGTATCGACGAGACCATCATCTGAAGGTTTTGGTATACCCGTATTATGTACATGTCGTTTCGCATCTCAACGGTAAATCTTTCTTCGCTCCAAAGCGATTTCAAAACGCTGGACAGTTCGTGGGGGGTTTTGAAGTGGTTGCAATGCAGTCGAACAACAGATGCGCTACTTGCATCGTTCCACAAAAAGACCTCTCAAGGTTATTGTACCAGTTCACTGAAAGTCGCTCTCACGGGCTGGAGTGGATCGTTGGACCAGCTTCCACGTCTTATCTGCTCATGGAGCTGGTTGGGGATAACCCTCAAGAGTGGCGACCTCTTACGCCGCCGAATATCAACCAAGCCAGGGACACTGGTGCTACCAAACGTTATGAATTAGCTTATGAAAGGAGTATCGGAAGTTTGTTGCCCCTGTAGCTGACATGGGCTGCTCAGGTAGGTTGACCCTCACTCATATGGGACAGACTATCTTTACCCCCAACTGCTACAATCGGGGGACAAAAGTCTCCGTACAGCCCCATTTCTGGACCCCTGACCTGCTACACCTCACAACTCAATTGAACCACAACACACTCAATTCTAGTCAGAAAATTCTCAAATAAATTGCATTCGATAGCCCGTTCAGTAATGCGTGTACCATCCACCAGCGCGCCTGCATGCGGCGATGCGATCGCGAACAGACTCGATCAGCACGCGTACCTGCTCAGGATCAATCTCGGACCACGCCCTCTCAATTAACTCGTGCGCGTACTGGTAATGAGGGATATTGTCCTTCAATTCGGAGAATTCAGGCTCGATAGCACGTATCTGCCTCTTCAGAAGTCGCCAGACGTGCTCGATGGGGTTGAGATCGGGGCTGTGAGGAGGCCAGTCGATACAGTGAATCCCGTGCTCTTCTAGCCACTCCGGAACAACTCCTGAGAGGTGAATTTTCGCGTTATCTTGAACAAAAGGATCTCCAGCCTCATAGAAGGGAAGGAGGCCGTTCTCAAGGACCTGTTTATATGACTCTGCGGATACTCCTCCGCGCGGAACATCCGGATCGAGTGGGCAGAAGATCAACTTGCCCAGTCCTCCTTCTCCATCGCGTAGCCAGATCTGAGACCACACCATTATCGAAATACGAGGCTTTCCGTGACTCGTGGGGTTCATGAGATCGTAACGGTACCGCTCTGACGAGTATCGGATGACCCAATCGCCTGGATTATCCGATTCATTTTGGACCGTACACTCGTCAGAGAACAGTGCCTTCAAGAGCTCGAGAATACGCTCCGGATGGTCGTAATATTCGGCAAATTCGCGCCTTATCCGAGCCGTCTCCTCGTTCAGCTCGATCCTCTTGGCTGCTCGCCACTTCTCAAGCCCTCTGGCGTAGCAGAGGCGCTTGATAGTCTTCGCGCAGCAGAGAACGCGGGCCTTGTTTCGGATCTTCTGCCACGAGGCCCTGGGGAAGTCCCTCGCTGCCTGAATAACACGGGCGCGTTCGCGAGTGTTCAGAGCACTTGGTCGACCACTTCTGGGAGCAGATTTCGTGGTGGTGGTGGTCTCAAAGCGCTTGACAGTCTCAGTGATGGTGGCAGTGCGCGTGGTTTTGAACGCGTCGGCAACCTCCTTGCGGCTCTGCCCCAGCACTCTCGCCGCCACAATCGAAGAGCGAGCATCGCGAGTAAACTCCCCGTTCGGCGCGCGACTGCCGCTCAATTCGTCTCCAAAAGATCGAAATACCATCGTGATTTGCGTTGTTGAGAGAGTGTGGAAGTTGAAGGGTGGTTGACGCGTTGTTTTTATGGTCGGAGATTAGTGGTGGGGTGTACGGAGACTTTTGTCCACCCAGTTTAACACCTCACCTCTTCGCGAACAGACCTTCTTGGAGTTGACCTCGTAGCTCCCAGTTTAGCCACGGATATCGAACCAATCCACAAGATCCATGCTAAAGGCGACAGAAAAGCATCGAGTCCCGCGCCCAGCTACGAGGACGATAGCGCGAATGGTAGAGAATACGAGATTGAGGAACTCCTCGACCACCGCATGGCTAATGACGGAAGCGGTGCCGTAGAACTTCTTATTCTGTGGGCCGGCGAGAAGAAGGAAGACGCTACCTGGGAGCCCGAAGACGAGATCCAGAGAGATGCTGAAGAGAGCCTCTACAAGTACTGGGAATCACAAGGCGGCCGGGTCAATGCTCTATTCAGGCAGCCTAGTAATGCTCGGGACGACTCATACTATGTGCTCAAGCTGCTACGGCATGACCGGGCCCCTCAAGGAGGTATCCAGTTCGAGGTGCAGTGGGTTGGGCACCGTTCCACGCCAGATGAAACGTCAATGGAGCACGAGTCCAAGCTCATGAGGGTTGCGCCCGAGCTGTTGCAGGAATACTGGGACGGTGTTGGGGGCCGCGAACATTACGCCTTGAAACGCGGTCGGCCCAGAAAGCCACGAACCGCAGTGAATTAAGCGGATCTTATTTACCTAGTGAAACTGAAGATTGTATTATGGTTTGTGGGGAGGGTTCAGAAAGTGAGGACGGAGATGATGGGTGACGGTGATGGCATTTGGAATTGGGTGGTCCATTACCCGGGAGCGACGTTATGGTGTTCCACTTTGGGGTTTACATATGTCTCAAAGATTCCAGGCCAGTGAACAGCTTTCCACCACGTTTGATCTGGCTTGAAAGCCAGAGTGCGTACCTTACCAGTCCTATCCTGCAACCGTTGCATAAACCTTGGTCCCATTCCCTTGTCGCAATACTTTGCATCTCGGTCGCAGTAATCGTAGGGAAAGCTTGCGTTACATGGATCTGGTCCGTGTTCCCTCGTCGCTGCACCGGGTCGCTAGCGGTACCGTTGGCATCGCCGGATCGAGCTCTGTGCCGGAGCGTATCGCACGTTCTTTTTTACGCCGCGGTTGTAAAAGCAGTCTACTCGATGTCGGGAAAATGCAGCCTACAGGGAAGAGCACGCCGCACGGGTCGCGCGGCGCGCCCGGCGGGCGTCGGAGGTCCGAGCGTTAAATGCCGTCAACTTCAATTCCTTTGGGAATGATGCCTACGCTGTGTCACTAGGGAGGAGAGCCTCTTGGATCTCTGCAGGCGTGAACTGTTCATCTTCAATTTCCGATGAGAAATTATCGACCTCCTTCTCGAGTTGCCCGGGCTTCTCCTGGAGTTCTTTGGCGTTCTTCTGCGGTTCGTCGGCGTGCTTCTGCGGTTCTTCAGATGCTGGCAAACCACCAAGGAATCTGAGGAACAATTCCTTCGCCTATGCTTTAGTCGCCTTCGTAAAGTCGACACGATAGTCAGTCCTCACAGCACGGAGGAGGGCATCATCGAGCTTCTCAACGAAGTTGATCGTCATCATTAATATGTGGTCCTCGTGACCCCCTACCCCGTCGATGGCATTAAGTAAACCACTCAATGAAATGCCAGTCTGCTTCTCCCCCTCGTGACGCTCTGCAGTGTCCGGCAGCGAGAATACAGCTAATGGTAGTGAGCCACCGCACGTACGTGCCGGGAAGCAAGTCTCAATTTCACAAACGACTGCTAGACAGCTTTTGGCCTCAACACTCATCTAGCTCTGCGGGTGGAAACCCACCGCGGCCCGCGAGGTAGGCCCGGCAAGACTGTTGGTCCTGCGCCAAAATCACTGGGTAGAACAGCGTTGGGCTTTGTTGCACAGCAGGAAGGCCAGAAGCGAGGCGAATATGCTGCACTGGTGTTATTGATGTGGAAGATCTGGAGGTGGTGCGCAGCTGCAGTGGATGTGCCACATAGTCGCTGGCGACTGAATCATCTCCTTTCCTGGGGCATAGATCAATTAATCCCGGATTTATTGGTCCGTTGCCCGCCCGTGTGAAAATATCCTTCTCCAGTTCTTGGGCAGGCATGCACATCGCGTGTTTGATGTCTCGGGGTACTGGCACTAACGCCAGTATGCCCCACCTATAACAGAACGGAAAGAGCCATGTAACTCGGCAGTCGACAGGCGAAAGCACCGCAAAACTGCCCCGTTACGCCCAAGCAGCAAGGCCCATGATGAAAGGGTAAACGTAGCTTATGATGAGTGCTCAATACTTTATGATGGCCAGCTGCAATATCAGCGGCGCTTCCAGAACGACTTATAGATCCTTGTTTGGGTATCATTTAGATCTCTCTATTTTGAAGTACATGCGCCACTTATGTGTCTTAAACAAGCTGCTCTTTTGGCGCTTCCAGCACGACTTCTGTTAGACCATTTAATAACGTGAGAAAGCTGGAACTGGACCATATCTAGAATTGACTTACATACTCGTAAACGTCGGATTTCCACTTCTATACGTTTAGTGCGGTATAAAAAGCCTAAAAGCATACTTTCACAGATATCGCAAGTGCTGGAGTCACCCCTCCACCGACAGGGTTAAAGAGGTAAACTTATATCGGCTCTTAGATGACTAAATCGTTACAAAACTCACTTCTTTCACGTTCAAGTACCATCCGGCTTTCAATACCTCCAAGATGAGTCGACCACCATGTTTAAGTCTCAGGTCACTACCAAAAGTCACCCACAGACCACAGCCTTCTCTTACGCCAACGGACATTGAAATTAAAAGACTTAGCAGCACCACGACAGTCCTCGATATGAGTGCCGAGAATCTGAAAGCTAAAAAGGCACCGATAGCGAGCCGTGAGGATCTGATCACTGAGCTGTCTCGTGAAAACGGACGGCTTCGAGCAGAGGCTGCATATTTTCGAGAACTCAACGAACAATGTGCACCACTCGTCCGTTCAGCTCAGAAACACACACGGGAGCTATGTTTGACAGTTGAGAGATGTAACGTCACAATCAACGAGGCCAACGCTCAGTGGGAAAAAGAGAAGGACTACAGTTGATAAAGGATGTCGGAATATCAAGCGTGGCAGCTCGATATTTTATAGTGGTACACATCTCATGGTCTGGGCTCAAAGGGATGGAAAGACTTCGAGGATATATAGCCGGTCCTTGCGTCAGACTTGGCACCGGCATCGTTGATGATTGTCGGCAGTTGCCGCTGTCTGGGTTTGACGAACGGGTTGGATATTTGGGCTGCTTGTAGTCAACGTTGTTAGCCATACATCATACTGCAGGAGGCCACATCGCCAATGTCAATGCAGAAAGTGGCGGGAATTGCCTTCAAATGTGGTATATGGGAGATTCCGCCAAAGGTGCAATCGTGAGGTCATTAATTCGGATAATACATGGTGTACTTACTGAAATGACATGTCTACCAGCCACTGGTTTTCAGGTATTACAAAACACCTTTCCTGCTATTTTTCATCCGTGCGCCTGCATCTGTTATTGCATGCGCGCGGCCCACACCAATATCCTTAGCACTTGGCAAATCTGCCAAAAAAAACCACGGCGCTTTGTGGTTCCGTCAAGTTCTTGCTGTGCCATGCGACAACCAGTTTGCTCATACACTAAGCCTGGTGTTCTCGTGTACAGTCTTTTCGACTGTATCCTGCCCATTATAAGCCTACCAACCTATCTACATTACCTTATGATCAAAATGGCCTGCGGCTCGTGTATCCCACAAGAACTTGAAGCACTTGAATAAGACGGCGCTTCTTCACCGCGACCACAGCCGTCAACCCCCTAGCGACTCTCTCTGCCGTCCCCAGAAGCCTCCCCGATTCTCGATTGCATACCAGTCCTCTCTCGCTGGATTATCCGTACTCAACCGCATCTTTATCACAGCCTCTATTTGGCGAAGTGACGACTCAACTTGTCTTATATCTCGTCTGTAGCCGGTGTCTTAAAGCCATGTTACGCGTGAGCAGAATGTCGTTACGGTCATTGCACCCTCCCGACTCGAGCGGGGTTCCCTTCTCTAACAGCATCGAGATCATGGGCCAATGATCTTCTATTATTTGAATAAGCTGCAAAGAAAAAATGAAACGCTAGCTTGAAGATTCAAAGTTAGCTTCATGCTTTATTGTTTATGTTATCGGAACATATACATGATAGATTGCTTTGGTATTTAATACAAGGTTATAAACTGAACCAGAATTGACAAAGAAATGCGCCGATGACGAAGCCGAGATGACTAAAAATAGAGAAAGTCGCTAAGGACGATTGTTGAATGGCGCGCAAGCCACCGTGGCGTTCAGGAAGGTGGCAGTGCACCAACAAGGCCAATAGGGCATTTTTAGGCCACTTAGCCCACAGCAGGATTTTCACACAGATACAACAACAACAGGGATTACACCAGAATATACGTTTTCATCCATCTAAAAGCCCCTACGCTCTGTTTGACAACGATCGGGGACGCTCATGTGTTAGTTTTACACCAGAAGCAAAGGATATAGAGCCCCCTAAAGGACAAAGTAGAAGGTTACGGCCGCGACTGTGTTTAGCAAGGCTAGGGTAGGCTTGACGAAGCCTTGAAATTAACCAAACGGGAGATAAAGAAGGACCTGGGGAGGTTGCAAGCTAAGGCGAGGCTTTAATTGGACTTAGAAGGCCATGGGTAAGGGCGCTTGTCGCTTCTAAATGCAGGTAGAGTTCCTGTGTATCTGGACACGTCAGCCTATTTAAATCCTGTACTGTACGTCTGTTTCTATTATAGGCGCTGGATCTAAATATGGCACTCGCAAATTCTTCGTATATGGTAGAATCACTCAGGATAGCAACATGTTAAACGGAAACCTTCCACCGGTCTGAGCCCACAGCAGCGAGAAGATCGACAAGGGAACGGCTAACCTGAAATTGGGCCTTTAGGTTATTCTCGTCGTCCTCTGTCCAGCGTGCCGGCGCCATCTTCTCGTGTATATGCGAGATTGCGTCGTGCGGTGGGGTGTGAATGGAGCGGGAGGGCGTGCCTCTTGGGTATGCTGGGGTAAGCTGGGGAGAGATAACGACATATGGGGAGAAGGAGAGAGAAGAGGAACAGAAGTCGACTTGGTGAAAGAGAGCACAGGACTATATATACACACATGGGAGTGCCCTGCTGGAGTCAGGTAAGTGGAAGCCCCTCGTGGCTGCGCCCGTGTTTCCCGTCCCGGAACAAATAGGTGCGACCATCGCATGCGCCTTGTATGTAAACGGTGGCCACTCATTTACGTATACGTCGGAAGCTAGGAAAAACCAAGCTAGGAAAACCCAAGCTAGGAAAAACCAAGCTAGGAAAAACCAAGCTAGGACGCCAAGCTCATTTTATGTCCTGCTCACGATCCAGTTCCAATGTTACGGTATTACGTAATACCTCCACATATTCATGTACATATATACCCCTAGCTTCCCCGTTCTCTTCCGACCTTGCCTTTTCTTCCTTAGATATTGTTGAATCTAGATATTTCATACCATCAGCCCTGACCAGCGCAGCTGCAGGCCTGATTGTCACATCCAACCCGTGCTTCAGCTTCTGTTCACGATCCAGTCCCTACTCATGGTCCTGTTTCATCTTCCCTGCCTGTTGTCCAATTCATCCCATGATCTGCCTGTGATCACGGTGAGTTAATCATCATCAGGATGACTCATGAACAGACTATTACAAGCTCCTCATGGGTTCACATTATCCCAGCCATCGGTTGATCAAGAGATAGGTTATAAGGCAAGTCAAGGGGCAGCTGGGAATGGTTGGCTATGACTGATGGATAACACCACGATGATTATTACGTGGCGTGGCGCCTGTGATAACTAATTAAGTAGTTTGATGCGCAAGTGAGGGTACCATCAAGATGACTCACAAATAGACCAGAGACCAGGGTGGACCTTTGGCTTATGAATGAATATACTTGGTATCTCACATGCAATACAGCCACCCTATGAAGCAGAAAGCGCCTGTCGGGTTTTAATGGTCATTGTTGAATCATTCGTTTTCAAACTATGGTTCAGGCATCCGAGTCTATCATAGCGCACACCATTCGGTAGAATGGGTGGCTAAACAGATAGCTGAACAATCTATCGACGGTTTCAACCAGGGGCTGGGAATGGCACGTCATTCGTTGGTGCACACGGACACCATCACCTCTCCACATCAACAACACCAATACAGCAGAGTTGCAACCTTTTGGTCTCGTCGCAGGCGACTAGGATTGGTTGGCTGTGACTGATCGATAGGACCACACTGATCCAGCTGGGAGCAATCTTGGGTCTTGTTCTCTCCTTTGAGTCTAGCAGAGAAGCCATACGATATGTTATAAATATCGCGTCACTCGATCTTGGCCTAGATACCCGATTCAGACCCAAGCCCCAGAATCTGAGTGGCGACGATCCAAGACGGCTTTGTGCCGCTCTACAGCAGCCTCAGTTGGCTGGCTTTATCAGGATACATTATGGCTTCATCGGACTTAAGGCGCCGTTTCTCTACCTTTACCAAAGGTGCTAAAATGCTCCAATGC